GTCACCTGAATCACCTGGGAACCTAGACTCCCTGGGATAGAGCTGAGGTGGGTGCGTGTTAGACTTCCCCCGTGTGATTCTGACATTCACCCTGTGTAAACCAGGCCCTGGGTGACACAGGCATGCAAGTGACAGGTAATGGAGTCAAGGTCACCTGCCCCTTACTGAAAAATTTTGCAGCCTCTCTTTGACCACAGGTTCACCAAATAGCCATGGCTTTTTCAGGAGGACAATGGGACATAAAAAAGAAAGTGCTCCCATCTTCCCGACCCCATACTGTCACCACTGCCCACCTCCGACCCCTCCCAAAGTGGCAGCTGTGACCACAAATCTGAAGCCGGCCTCACAGAGAAACCACTGTGGAGAAGGAGCTGCTCTCCACTCGCTGGGCTTTCTGAGACAGCTGGAGAGAGAGCGCGTAATGAGTATTTTGTCCTTTTAAAAAAAAAAATTGTGACCAGTCAGGTCATATTACAGAGGAAAGAAGGGACCTAGAGGGAAGGGTGGGGTTCTCACCAAGACCACCCAGTTCATTTGCCACAAGAGGAATTTTCGCTGAAGTGGGATTTGCCTTGCAGGCAGACACGCTTCTTTCCGCCTGAGGCGCGGGATACAGACACACACACGCACAGAAACATCTCATCGGCCAGCTGCTCTCCGCCTTGTCACCCCCTCATCGTTCTGCACGTTCGCTTTAAGCGTTTCCGTCAGTAGGGCCACCTCTTTGTAAATAGCTCCTCAGGTTCTAACTGGAACCAGTTTTGCAGACTTGGGCGTGGGGTCCACAGCAGCCAGGTGCCCCTAAGCGGCATTACTCTTTGATTTGTTTTCAACCCTCCTTTGGAACTGGAGGCGTTTCCTCTAACTCCAGGTGTGTTTTAACGTGCGATTTCTGGGCCTGTCGCTGTAGCGAGATTGTGGTGTGACTCACTGAGATCCTGGTCTTTGCGTGGGTGCCGTCAGCGCACTGTTTACGGTGGCAAGAGAGGAGACCAGGAAACTGCTCACTGTGGGCCTGCCCTTGGGGAAGTGCTGAGTTTCCTGCTTCCCGAAGCTGCCATGGGCCCCAGGCAACAGGGTTACCTGTGTTTCATGATCATCTAACTGGGGTCTTGCGAGGGGGAGTGGGGAACAGCAGGTCAGGGACTTTTTATAAACCCTCACTTTCAAAAGACTTTATGTGGACTTGCCCCTAAATCTCGTTGTGACATTCACCACCTACCCTTGTGGATTTTCCTCAGTGTTCTCTCTGGGCAAGCAATTGTTCTTTGTAGTTTCTGGCCTTTCTTGTGAGATATTAGAAGGCAAGTCTGTATGAAAAGCCAGATGAGAAAGGAGGCTTGTCCAAGGGGAGAGGACCAGGATAGGAAATTCCAGTAGTTTTCAGAGATTCTCTTTCATCGAAGTGATTGTTTATTTGTGGAATAATTATTTACTAATGACTGTTTTGTCCAAACGATGGGGCAGGGGAGCTACGGAAATGAGTAAGTGGCCCTGCCCTCAAGGAGCATAAGCTCTTAGTTAGAGACGTGAAACCAGCACTCGCATGAGAAGGGAGAGTTTGGGGTGCTGCAGAGAACAAATATGGAACTTGAAGGATTGCACTTACCTTGAGAGGAGACCAAGGACATCTTGGTGGAGAAACAACAGGCCTAGGTGGTCAGGAGGAGGGACTTGCATGAGCAGAGGCAGGAGCACACGAGACGTGTTTGGGAAACTGAGTGATCCTATCCACGGAGCAGGTGAGGAGGAGGCAGAGGTGTGAAGGCTGTCGTGCTGCTGGGAGATCAGACAGTGTGAAGACAGAGCAAAAGCCTTCAGAGCTGTCCGCAGCCTTTCAGAGTGAGGTTGAAGGAAGAGGCTTTGTTTTCTGTTTTAGGATAGGCAGACATCTGTGTTGGCAAAAGATGAAACAGGGGCAGAGACAGAGTGCAGAGGCAGGAAAAAGGTGGATTAATGGAGCAGGTTTTTGAAGGAGACAGGAAGCCTTGAAAGAGGCTCCACCTTTTTTTTTTTTTTTTTTTTTTTTTTTGGGGGGG